AGAGAGAGAGAGAGAGAGAGAGAGAGAGAGAGAGAGAGAGAGAGAGAGAGAGAGAGATGTTTTTGGACCAAAGAGAAGCACAACGACATATTATAAGCTAACTACTCAGAAAAAGCAAAGGACTACTTAGTGTAACATATAAATTCTGAATTAAGTGCTCAAAAACCAAACCAGTAAGTTAGGATATTTCATTCACAGTGTTATATATTATGACAGGGTGCCCACTATGGATGGGATCGCCCAACTCGATCGCCTCAAAAACAAACGTGTTTGTTTTCAGTTTCAGGCGATCGAGTCGGGCGATCGGCCCGATCCAGCTGTAGTGGTCACCCAAGTACTTGTATGGGCTCAACAGTGTTAATGTTTGTGTGTCCAATTCAAGTGGATGAGTTAACCTAACTTTCAAAAGTCACACGGATCAATCAGGGGTAAAAATAATTAGCTGTTTAAAACCGAACAAGGCCACCATTCGCATTTAAGCGGTCAGTGTCACCTTGCCTCGTGGTTTAAATCTATACAAAGCTTTCTTTGACTTTGAGTGAGGTGTTGTATTGGCTGAAGTCCCTGTTCGAGAATACGAAAGGGCTCATCGTCGTTGTTGGCGGAGGTTGCTGGGTTCTGTTGTGTGGCCCAAGAATATCCCATAAATTACGTTCTACGGGCTTGTGATCAGGTGACCCAGCTGGTCAGTCAGTCTATCCTGTCCGTTCGAAGATGCTGCAGGAAATTTTGTACAGGTATGACAAGAACACGGCGAGGCCGAGCGTTATAATTCTGGAGGATGGCGCCTGATCTACTGGTACTAGCCCTTAGAGCAAGCAGAGCAATAGGTTGAAGAATCTCGCCCCTGGAGCGATTCCGACTATAATTATTGCTTGGATACGATGGAGGGGTGTTCTGTTGTTCAGATCAATGCCACTCCACACTCTGGCACACCTCCTTCAATAGTGGTTATCAAATACTCCTGCTCACAGGCGTCCCGAAAGCGTTCAACGGGAGTCTCCAGACATGAATCCTGCAGTCACCGAAGGTCAAGGTGAATCTGGGCTCGTCTTTGAACAGCACACTTGACCATTGTTGACGCGTCTATCTCAGGTAACGAGTACCCTACACCATGTCTGTTGGGCATCCAAGTAATCCAAGGATATTAGAACAAAGGGCGCTCCTCTCTCTCTCTCTCTCTCTCTCTCTCTCTCTCTCTCTCTCTCTCTCTCTCTCTCTCTCTCTCTGC